CACTGAGGCGGGCGAAAACAAAACGGGTGCGATCACCCGGCTAGTCGCATTGTTGTTATTGATTAAATATTACTCGTTCGTGGTTACAGTACAATTAATACAATATTTTACAGTACTACCGTCCTGCCAAGTGAGTGTAAAACGAAAACCTGTAATTGTTTTACATGATGGTAGGATTGCTGGTGTCTTTTGTCTGTTTCATAAACATGCAAGATTACAGGTACGTCTTGCTACTTCTACTTACACTTAGGTCATACTACACATACATGTACACGTTTATTTATACACAATCATCTGAGTTCTCTTAGATTTTATCTTAGTTCTTGTTCTTATTACTTTTCCTTTTATATCCATGGGGAAGTGGAATAAGAATCTTTCCTCCGTGAGACATGCGTGTTGTAAAAGTCAACTAAAATGCCGGGAACAATGTGCTAGTAACCCCTTTTCCTGTAATAATTACTAAAAAGAATAAGAAGAAAATTGTCAAAGTGGGATGTCTGAATGTGAACATTAAAATGGTATAAAATACCGACAGATTGTTAGGTAAGACACATATGCAACAGTTAGGTATCTTTATTTCGAAACGTTTCGCCTACACAGTAGGCTTCTTCAGTCGAGTGCAGAAAAGTTGATAGAAGCAGAAGATACTTGAAGACGATGTAATCAGTCCATCCCCCTTGAAGTTTTGAGGTGGTCAGTCCCTCAGTCTGGAGCAATATGGAGTTGAAGTGACAGGATGGAGCCTATATACCGCCAGGAGGTGAGATTTAGGCCACTAGTAGAGGTAAGAATGTTGTCGTTGGAAGGTCAGGTGCGTCTTAAATCCAGCCATTCTCACTAGTGGCCTAAATCTCACCTCCTGGCGGTATACAGGCTCCATCCTGTCACTTCAACTCCATATTGCTCCAGACTGAGGGACTGACCACCTCAAAACATCAAGGGTGATGGACTGATTACATCGTCTTCAAGTATCTTCTGCTTCTATCAACTTTTCTGTACTCGACTGAAGAAGCCTACTGTGTAGGCGAAACGCTTCGAAATAAAGATACCTAACTGTTGCATATGTGTCTTACCTAACAACATGTATGAATGTTGTGCGAATGATAAGAAAGAGATGATTGTGGATGTTATGAATGAGAAGAAGCTGGATACGATGGCTTTAAGTGAAACAAAGCTGAAGGGGGTGGGTGAGTTTCAGTGGAGAGGAATAATTGGGATTAGGTCAGGGGTTTCAAATAGAGTTAGAGCTAAAGAAGGAGTAGCAATAATGTTGAAGGATAAGCTATGGCAGGAAAAGAGGGAGTATAAATGCATTAATTCAAGAATTATGTGCAGTAAAATAAAGGTTGGATGTGAAAAGTGGGTTATAGTAAGCGTATATGCACCCGGAGAAGAGAGAAGTGTAGAGGAGAGAGAGAGAGAGAAATTTTGAAAAATGTTGAGTGAATGTGCGGGGAGTTTTGAACCAAGTGTGAGAGCACTTGTGGTAGGGGATTTTAATGCTAAAGTGGGTAAAAATGTTGTGGAGGGAGTAGTAGGTAAATCTGGGATGCCAGGGGTAAATTAAAATGGGAAGCCTTTAATTGAGCTATGTGAAGAAAGAGATTTGGTAATAAGTAATACATATTTTATGAAAAAGAGGATAAATAAATGTACAAGGTATGATGTAGCACGTAATGAAAGTAGTTTGTTAGATTATGTATTGGTGGATAAAAGGTTGATGGGTAGGCTCCAGGATGTACACGTTTATAGAGGGGCAGCTGATATATCGGATCGTTGTCTAGTTGTAGCTACAGTTAGAGTAAGAGGTAGATAGGACAAGAGGAAAATAGCAACAACAAATAAGAGAGAGGTGAAAGTGTATAAACTAAAGGAGGAGGAAGTTTGGGTGAGATATAAGTAACTATTGGCAGAAAGGTGGGCTGGTGCAAGTATGAGTAGTAAGGGGGGGGGGGTTGAAGAGGGTTGGAATAGTTTTAAAAATGCAGTATTAAAATGTGGGGCAGAAGTCTGTGGTTATAGGAGGGTGGGGGCAGGAGGAAAGAGGAGTGATTGGTGGAATGATGAAGTAAAGGGTGTGATAAAAGAGAAAAAGTTAGCTTATGAGAGGTTTTTACAAAGCAGAAGTGTTATAAGAAGAGTAGAGTATATGGAGAGTAAAAGAAAGGTGAAGAGAGTGGTGAGAGAGTGCAAAAGGAGAGCAGTTGATCGAGTGGGAGAGGCTCTGTCAAGAAATTTTAATGAAAATAAGAAATTTTTTTGGAATGAGTTAAACAAGTTAAGAAAGCCTAGGGAACGAATGGATTTTTCAGTTAAAAACAGAGTAGGGGAGTTAGTAGATGGAGGTTTGGGTAGATGACGGGAATATTTTGAGGAACTTTTAAATGTCAACGAAGAAAGGGAGGCGGTATGGTATACAGGGAGGTATACCATCTTTTAGGAGTGAAGAAGAGCAGGATGTGAGTGTGGGGGGGGTGCGTGAGGCATTACATAGAATGAAAGGGGGTAAAGCATCTGGAACTGACGGGATCATGACAGAAATGTTAAAAGCAGGGGGGGATGTAGTATTGGAGTGGTTGGTATTTTTAGTTAATAAATGTATGAAAGAGGGGAAGGTACCTAGGGATTGGCAGAGAGCGTGTATAGTCCCTTTATATAAAGGGAAAGGGGACAAAAGAGATTGTAAAAAATATAGAGGAATAAGTTTACTGAGTATACCAGGAAAAGTATTCGGTAGGGTTAGTATTGAAAGAATTAGAGGTAAGACAGAATGTAGGATTGCGGATGAGCAAGGAGGTTTCAGAGTGGGTAGGGGATGTGTAGATCAAGTGTTTACATTGAAGCATATATGTGAACAGTATTTCGATAAAGGTAGGGAAATTTTTATTGCATTTATGGATTTAGAAAAGGCATATGATAGAGTGGATAGGGGAGCAATGTGGCAGATGTTGCAAATATATGGAATAGGTAGTAAGTTACTAAATGCAGTAAAGAGATTTTATGAGGATAGTGAGGCTCAGGTTAGGGTGTGTAGAAGAGAGGGAGACTGCTTCCCGGTAAAAGTAGGTCTTAGATAAGGATGTGTAATGTCACCATGGTTGTTTAATATATTTATAGATGGGGTTGTAAAAGAAGTAAATGCTAGGGTGTTCGGGAGAGGGGTGGGATTAAATTATGGGGAATCAAATACAAATGGGAATTGACACAGCTACTTTTTTGCTGATGATACTGTGCTTATGGGAGATTCTAGAGAGAAATGGCAAAGGTTGGTGGACGAGTTTGGGAGTGTGTGTAAAGGTAGAAAGTTGAAAGTGAACACAGAAAAGAGTAAGGTGATCAGGGTATCAAATGATTTAGATAAAGAAATTGGATATCAAATTGGAGAGGAGTATGGAAAAAGTGATGTTTTCAGACATTTGAGAGCTGACGTGTCAGCGGATGGATTTTTGAAGGATGAGATTAATCATAGAATTGATGAAGGAAAAAAGGTGAGTGGTGAGTTGAGGTTTATATGGAGACAAAAAACGTTATCTATGGAGGCAAGGAAGGGAATGTATGAAAGTATAGTGGTACCAACACTCTTATATGGGTGTGAAGCTTGGGTTGTAAATGCTGCAGCGAGGAGACGGTTGGAGGCAGTGGAGATGTCCTGTCTAAGGGCAATGTGTGGTGTAAATATTATGCAGAAAATTCGGATTGTGGAAATTAGGATAGGGTGTGGAGTTAATAAAAGTATTAGTCAGAGGGTTGAAGAGGGGTTGTTGAGGTGGTTTGGTCATTTAGAGAGAATGGATCAAAGTAGAATGACATGGAGAGCGTATAAATCTCTAGGGGAAGGAAGGCCGGGTAGGGGTCGTCCTCGGAAAGGTTGGAAGGATGGGGGAAAGGGAGGTTTATTGGGCGAGGGGCTTGGACATCCAGCAGGCGTGCGTGAGCTTGTTAGATAGGAGTGAATGGAAACGAATGGTATTTGGGACTTGACGAGCTGTTGGAGTGTGAGAAGGGTAATATTTAGTGAAGGAATTCAGGGAAACTGGTTATTTTTATATAACCGGACTTGAGTCCTGGAAATGGGAAGTACAATGCCTGCTCTTTAAAGGAGGGGTTCGGGATATTGGCAGTTTGGAGGGATATGTTGTGTATCTTTATACATATATGCTTCTAAACTGTTGTGTTCTAAACTGTTGCATTCTGAGCACCTCTGCAAAAACAGTGATTATGTGTGAGTGAGGTGAAAGTGTTGAATGATGATGAAAGTATTTTCTTTATTTTTGGGTCACCCTGCCTCGGTGGGAGACGACCGACTTGCTAAAATATATATGTCTATAACTATATATATATATATATATATATATATATATATATATATATATATATATATATATATATATATATATATATATATATATATATATACACACACACACACACACAAAACAACCACTTTGAAAAGATAGTGATATTCCAAGCGCTTTCGTGACTTCTCACTATGCATCAAAGGAAGGCATATAAGGGGTCTTTATAGTTATTGTTAATGTGAGAAGTCACGAAAGCACTTGGAATTTCACTATCCTTTCAAAGTGGTTGTTTTGTGAGAGAGATTAATCTATGAACATATGTTATAAAATTTACGATGTAAATGTACTTTTCCACCTATTTCACATATATCTTAACATATAATGTTACTTAAACTTATGAACGAGAGTAAAAGGCCACTTATTCCTTCTATTAACCTCGTAATTTATTCGTAATTATATCATGAAAATTTCTTCCTCACATGTATTTACCATTCTTGTAGTCAGTATTAATTAACTGATATGCCATACAGGATAAACGAAGTTCCTCGCCATTATTGTTTTTTTTTATTTTTGTGTAGGAGATACAGGTATTCCAATGGGCCTTTGGCAATCTTGTATTTCCTTTGCATTGCACATTTTTTAATCATTAACTGCATATTCCTCTTTTCCTTCCCGTTTTTTTTTCTCTCTCTCTCTCTGTAGTTTTGACTGCGAGTTACCCTACTGGAGGCTGGAGAGGGTGAATGCTCGTGTACGTCGTCTGGAGGACGAGATGCGTCACCTACAAGAGTCTGCCGTGCTTTTCGAGGTGGTAATTCCAGAGTTCAAGTTCATGAAGGCATGCAGGAAAGAACTCAAGATGCTCAAGGTAAATGTTTTATCTCCGGTTAATTAATGCAGTGATCTGAAGCAATTAGCGGTCGTGTATCAGTGACCTAATTAGAAGTAATTCCAAGTGATGAAGCAGCAACCTGACTGAACAATGAACAAACATCATGTAAACATCTGACTCAAACCACCGACCTGATTTGAAGTAGCGACTTAAGTTTTTGCAATAATCTGCCTGGAATATACCTGGAGTATACCTGGAGAGGGTTTCGGGGGTCAACGCCCTTGCGGCCCTGTCCGTTACCAGACCTGGTGGTGGATCATGGTCTGATCAACCAGGCTGTTACTGCTGGCCGCACGTAAACTGACGTACGAACCACAGCCAGGCTGATCAGGTACTGACTTTAGGTGCCTGTCCAGCGCTTTCATGAAGACAGCCAGGGGTCTATTGGTAATCTCCCTTATGTATGCTGGGAGGCCGTTGAACAGTCTTGAGCCCCTGGTACTTATTGTGTTCTCACTTAGTGTACTCGTGGCGCCCCTGCTTTTTATTGGGGGAATGTTGCATCTTCTGCTGAGTCTTTTACTTTCATAGGGAGTGATTTTCGTGTGCAAGTTTGGCACTAATCCCGATAGTATTTTCCAAGTTTATATTATCATGTATCTTTCTCGCCTGCGTTCCAGGGAATACGAATCAAGGGACTTCAACCGTTCCCAGGCTTAAAAGAATGAGTAGAATTGAAGTAACGACCTCTCTCGCAAAGGTGACCTACCTTAAAGCAATGGCTTTGTTCAGTAAAGTAAAATGATTTGAAGCAATGACCTGACTCGAAGCAGAGACATGTCTTAAAGCAGTGACTGAACATGAATTGACAAATAAGACGAATTTATGACAACATTATTCTCCGTCCTGGACCTCTGTCAAATCACAACAGAGATGAGAAACTATCGAGAAAGCCAGAAGACATTACGGAAGGGAGGAGGGGAAAAGAAGTCGGTGGTAGTAATAGTAGTAGTTTTAGTATTAATATATTAAATTATTATTTCAGTAGCTGTTTCTTGAACTGTTGGGAGGTTGCATCTGGTGACTTATATATAACAACGATGACTAGGTTTTGGTTCTCGATCTTTAGTGTTAGAAGTTCAACTACATCATTTGTGGTGGTCACCATCTCCGTGGAGATGAGCGACTCTTTGACATACAGACCAACCCTCCCATGTTGCCTGTTCTTTCTGTCGCATCAAAAAAGGTTGTACCCATTTATCCATATTTCGTTGCCAATGTGATCTTTTGTATGGGTCTCTGTGAAGGCTGTAAACATCGCATTAGACTCCTCTAGATGTCCATTGATAAAAGGTATTTTGTTGTTGGTGGATGGCTTAAGGCCCTGTATATTAGCAAATATAAACGAGGTTGTATTCTGTGTTTGTTGAGAAGGAACCGCAAAGAGTGGAAATTTCAGAGTTGAGAAATTGAGGGTCACAGAAGTGGAGGGCCGAAGAAAGAGAAACAAGACAGACAGAGCGTGGCAAGAAAAGCAGTGAATGTACATGCCACCATGCATAGGCCTGTGGTAAATAGAAAAAGAAAAATCCGTCACAAAACGGTGGGTATTAACGTTAAGGGAACAATGAGTTAGATTCCCATTCAGCTTTGAACTTGACTAAGGGGTCTAGATTGCAAAGGGCATCAGGAAAAGGTTGGAAGAGACTAAGAACAGAGGTGAGGAACCTGCAGACTTTTATGATACCAAGTGCGGCCTTCCTAATGAATCAGATTTTTGCTTAATAAATCCTTTTTATTTTTATTGAAAAAAAAGTCATTCTCATGACTTAGTCCTAACCGACCTAATATGATCTAACAGAGCTTCTAATGTCATGTGGGGGTTCGATAACGTGGATTGGGTAAGAACACTCACGTAGGCTGGTTAGTACGTATAATTATAACGGAAAGTATGGGAAGAAGCCGTGCTGCCCTGCCTCCCTGCTCTCTATCTTAAGACTGACTCACGAATTGGGTCATAGGGGTGAGCGGCATTCAAAACATGCTATGGTCAGCAGCAACATGAATAACAGTCAGCGATTCACGCAGACAGTTGGTAGTGAGTCATACTACTGGTAACTGGTTACTGGTACTACTGGGAACTGATACCACTGAGAGCTCGGCGACACTAACGTATGTCGTCCCGACATACAGCTAATACAAACTAGAGATGACAGGCATACGGCTTGGGCTGATTTCTATACAATGTCAAAGTACACAACAATTAAACATTATAATATACATAAAGAGAATGTTGGAATGGAAGCTAATGTAATTTACTGTAATGAAACTTACTGTAATGGAACTGTAATGAAACTCTAATGCATTACAGGGTATGATACAGCATAACTCATCGAATGAGACTCAACATTGGGATTACACAATAGAAGTGATAAAACAAATTTGATTGATCGATCTGTATTCATGTGATCTACGGATTCTGAGGAAGAAATGTACACAAAGAGAAGTGTTAAACAGAAAGGCAGACTTGGTGCACTCAAATCTAGACTGTTAAATCTCAGAATTCAGAAAGAACGTGAACACAAAAAAAAAAATTCTTGAATATTGATAAGCTGATGCTGTAATTATTCATCTATACAGGTTATTTACATTAAACCCCAACTCTGCTAGGGTGAGATTGACACATGCAGAATGGGTGTCATCTCTGGGAGGATCAAACTCTGTTGCACTGGCTAACTCATGCCGTTTTTGAGGCGGCTCTGAATTGGTAGTTACAAATGATACTTGAGGATTTCTCAATACCTGTTGTGTACGTAGGGAATAACGACATTCAGGCTGATCGTCTGACTGAGTATTAGAGGTAGAGAGTACAGGATCATGAGGATTGTCAGAGTCTGTCACATTAGTCTGGGTTGGGGCATCATTATCATCACATGCTAACTTCATATGATCTTAATGCGATTCTTTATACTGACCAGTACTAATTTCTCTAACCTTATACTTATGTTCAACTACTCGATAAGGACCAAAAAAATTTTGATCAAGCTTAGGCATTGCAGACGTTTTGTTAAAGTTAGTCAGCATAGCTCTCGAACCTACTTCGATTTTGGATGGCTTTGCTCGAGTGTTTGCGACTCTTGTAAATTCTGCTGTTGATTTATGAAGTGTTCCACGGATTCTTCTAAAGATGCTTTGAGCTAGGCTGGAACCAGTTGCCATGAAATCATCAGGGTTGTAATTTGGTTTCGGGTTAGAATATAGCAACTCATAAGGCAAGCGTTTATCTACACCGTACAATGCATAATGTGGAGTGTCACCTATGGAAACATTGTAAGCAGAATTTATAGCACACTGCACATCAGGTATAATTTCATCCCAAGTTTCACTGTTGGGATTAATAGTGGCTCTCAAGACATCAAATACTTTCTTATTGGTTCGTTCCACTAACCCATTGCTGGCAGGATGATGAGGAACAATGGTGGATTTAGAGATCTTGTGCAAGGTACACAAATTTTAAAGAATCTCATTACAGAATTCACCTCCATTATCTGTTACTAGGGTCTTAGGGGTGGTATGCCTGCAGATAATGCGTTCTTTAAACGCTTTAGCTACTGTCTTCGCAGTCTTATCTGCAATAGGAACTAACTCACAATATCTGGTGAAATTGTCTACCATAACACACAGATGTTTGTTGCCCATTAGGGAACATTGGAAATTAGTTAACAGATCTAGCGCAACTCTTTCCCACGGTTCGCTAGTAGTTGGATACACTTGGATTGGATTTGGACCATTAGCATCACCTTTATGTTGCATGCAGACACTACATTTCTTAACCTACTCAGAAATGTCAGTTGCCATACGAGGCCAAAAGTATTTCAATCTGGCTTGTTTTACTGAACCATCCATACCAGGGTGCGCAACACCTGGTACATCGTGAACTAGCTGTAAGGCTACATTCACTAGTGGCTGTGGAATTACTAACTGGTATACTCTTCTGCTAGGAGTACCCAACTCGGCTGTTCGATACAGTAATTCTTGGTTCATGACAGTCACAGATGAGTGCTGGTGGCTTCACAGTCAGAATAAGATTTCTGGAGCAGGAATCGAATCACCCCCAGACCCATGGGGTCGTTTCGTTGAGCATTTTTTTTTACATCCTTGGCAGTAAAATGGAGGGTCTGCAGTTAATATACTAACATGTCGGATGAAGCATCTGCACTACATTTGACCCTTTACAGATAAGTGTTCAAAGGTAGGATTGAACTTTTGGATAGTCAAGGTCCATCTGGTAACCTTCCAGTAGGTTGTTTGTTCTGGAATAAAGGTATCATGGAGAATGGTCTGTCAAGACATGAACAGAGTACTGATAAATAATGTCTCGGAAGTGCTTTAAAGGACCATACTATTGCTAAAGCTTCTTGCTCAGTTACTGTATAATTACGTTCAGCCTTCGTAAGGACTCGGCTAGCAAATGCAACTGCGTTGTACTTGCCACCAGTCTTCTGAGCTAGTACGGCACCTATGCCAATAGAACTAGCATCAGTTGTCAGATAGAAGGGCTTAGAAAAATCTGGAAATTTCAAAATTGGAGCAGATCTTAGCTTTTCTTTTAGTGTTTGGAATGCTCTTTCTTGACGGAAGGTCCAAACGAAAGGAGCATCTTTCTTAAGCAACTCAGTTAGAGCTGCTATGGAAGAAAAATTGGCAATGAAAGATCTATAAAAACCTGCTAAGCCCACAAAGGATCTTAATCAGCAGTTTTGGGAGTTGGAAAATTTAGTACTGAAGTTACTTTACTTTGGTCAATCGTAACCCCTCTAGGAGTAACTTTGTGACCAAGAAACTTGATTTCTGATCTGAAAAATTGACATTTAGACAGTTTGATCTTTAAATTGGCTTCTTCAAGCTTACCAAGTACTACATCAAGTCTTTTCAAGTGCATATCTACGACTTTAGACATGACGATTACATCATCGATTACATCATCTACAGATATTAGTCATGAGCCTTGAGAACATGATAGGGGAGGATTGTAA